GATTCTAGAAAAGCATACTTTAATAGAAATTATATATTATATGTCATTGTGGCTAAAGTTTTATAAAATAATCTTTCTCACTACTTCTGAGACAGACATTGTATTTAATACTTGCCTTTTAAGTTGTTTCAGCTGCTTGCAGACTTTTATTATAAAATCATTATTGACTATCTTTGGCGCTATCATTGCGTTCAGTAATTCCCGAAGAAGAACGTAACGGTTCTTATCAACAGCCACGTCTGCAGCACGTTTTATTATTAGTTGATTTTGTTCTAATCGTTTACGATCGTTTTTACGTTCTTGTTCTGCAGAAATATCAAACATCGTATCTCTAAACACATATTTCTCAATTGGATTGTCTATATGAAACCAATCTATTATACGAAACGAATCTAGGATTTTTATCCCTGCCGTGCGAAGATCATTTTCCGTGGCTGTTACCAACAAATTTCCAACTGTTTCCAAAAAAATCACCTTATCATTATGCATATTCTCCAGGAAACTTTTTTCATCGTTAATATAGTCAGATAGTAATGGAGATCATTAATATAAGTTGCAGTCAACTGGAGTGCATGATAAAATTTGTCTGAAAAAAACGGACACAGATTCTGGATCATGTCTCGTGTCATCTGTTCAGCTTTTTTATAATTATCTGAATCTAGGTTTTGCTTGTGTTTTCGTAGTATTAGTTCTACCATGTTGAACTCTCTCGTCACTGACGCTAGATAGAGAGCAGAGCACTGATCTTCGCTGCAGAGAATATTAGCGTTAGCACCTTTTTGCAGAAGCATAGAGGCACATATTCGGTCGTTTCTGATCACCGCGATATGCAGAGCTGTCATTTGTCCAGCTTGGAGATTAGGATTTATCGTCGGCTCAGCTAGTAAAGCTTCCAACGTGTCGACATGTCCGCCTTTGGTGGCGAAATGAATAGGCGCGGATTTGAAGAACTTGTTCACCCGGTTAGGATTTACTCCATCACGCAATAAACTTTTTACGAATATCGTTAGGCCATGTTTACTAGCTATATCGAGGCATATCTCATTTAATTTGTTAAATTTGGTCATTTCACAAGGAGTAAAATCATGAAATAATTCATAACAAATAACAGGCGATTTGTTCACAGCACGATGTACGATATTTTTGAAAGATTTGAAGTTTTTGTTGTTGATACACTTCGAATCCTCATAAAGATTTAATAGCGTGGACAAACGATAAAAGCTATTCTGTCTGTACATCTTTTTGGGCGCTATTTTGTTGTTAAAAACTTGGAATATCAGTATTGAGTCAGCTATTTTGAAAAAAAATACTGAAGTTGTAATAATTATATTAAATTAATAAGTTTATGGAGAAATAGAATTATTGAGCCTAGTAAAAGATCGGAAGAGCACACGTC